GCAAATGGGATAAGAGGCAACTGGGAGACTGAGACCAAAACAGAGTGCCACACTACTGAGCGGGTAGTGTAGGATCCCACGGGGGATTGACTGTCAGCCAGTGTTAATCACAGCTCCTGATGATGGAGATGGGTTTCACTGCATGTTGGCCTGTAGGTTCACTCTACTCAGCAGACGAGGATACCAAGTGCCAAAAGTCAGGGCAGACAGCAGACAAGGATCACCAGGACACAAAACCAAAGGTAGGTAAAATGAAACAGCAGAGCTGGCTGGCATGCACTGAGAACACATAGGAACAAGATCACAGTAAACAGACAAGAGTGCATAGGGGACACACAGGTGCAAGGTCACTGGAAGCTGACTAGAGATTACAGGGAACACATAGGTGCAGGGATACTGGAAGCTGACAGGAGACTACAGGGAATACACCAAAACCAATGGGTCACAGTAGAGCATGGGTTACAGGAGTACAGTGGGATCTCTGGAGCTACTGGAACAAGAACATTCTGGAACAAAAAAAACAATGTGTGGAAATAGAAAATAAACCAAAGGGATACTCTAGGCCACATGTGTCAAACTCAAGGCCCAGGGGCTGAATCCGGCCCACCAGGCCATTTCCTAGACTTCTACTTTCAGATCTAGGTATTATGTTATTACTAAAGCCAGTGATAATCGAATGCAGAGGCAATTATGATAAAGATGAAATACATTTATATAGTCTTACAGGCCCTTTGCTCTAGGCCCCCTAAACACAGGGACATGTGCCAAGAACTAGAACTACACCATTGCTCATGCAAGGAGTGTTAGTCTTACCACATTTTAAATAGAGAGGTAAATTGGGAGGCTGGGCAGAAACTAGGGTTGCCACCTTTTCTTCCAGCGAAACCCGAAAACTCTAGCGACGCATGGAAATGTCTTTGGGAGAATGAGTCGTGGCTTATTCATATGTAATTATCACAGTCAAGACTATTTTCAGTGGTGGGCCAGTAGCCCCTATCTTAATTTTGGTTGCCCCTGTCTGCCTGACATCATGTGTCCGGGTTTCAGCTGCCATGAAACCCGGACACAGCATCAAAACCCGAACTGTCTGGGTGAATCCTGGACAGGTGGCAACCCTAGCAGAAACTGGTCATGAGGGAAACCATATTAAACAGCAGGTAAGATGCAGTGATGCCTAAAGGAGCCAGACCAGTACAGCAATAAGAAAGGAACAGACACAAGCCTGTAGGACTGCAAGCAACTGAATAAGCCCGCATGACTGTGGGTCTAGGGGTAAGAAGTCCACACATGCTTGTAGAACTACAAGTGACAGTCCAGCTACAGCTCTTTAGCTGACTCCTCCAACCTTCCCATGAACTTATCCCCTAACACAACTTACTCCCTTCCCGTTAAGTGCCAACCATCTTTAGCATATAGGTTTTACCCTAACTTGGGGGCTTGCTTAATTTGTGTGTTCTTAATGGTAGGCATTGTAAGGTGAGGGCCTTGCCAGGTGTGGGTGGTGTGTATTAGACATGTGCACCGGCAAAAGTTGTTTTGTTTCGTTTTGATTCAGATTTTGCGTTATTTAGTTTTTCAGGATTCGGGTCCGAAATTGAATTCGTTTCAGGATTCGGAAAAATTAGTTAGTGGTAGTCTGGTCGACGTTTCGTTTCGTTCGTTCGTTGATGCGAAGTGACATTGGGGGAAACATTCTTTATTTTTATTTTTTACAGTCTGCAGAAGAGGAAAAAAAAAAAAGCATGAGGTTCCCCCCCGCCAATTCACACCAGACCCTTTAGGTCTGGTAGGAATGTTAGGAGGGACGCCCCCAAGTTAAAAAAAAAAAAAAAAGTGTGTTTGATTCACCCCAAACTCCATACCTGGCCATTTGAAGGGGGAACCCCAGCCCCCAAAAATGGGGGGGAAACGTGGGGTCCCCCCTAAAAAAAAGTCCTACCAGACCCTGGTTCCGAGCACTGGCCCGGCAGGGCAGGAAAGGAGGGGACGATCGAGCGCACCCCCCCCCCCTGCGCCTTACCAGGCCACGTGCCCTCGGCATCGGGAGGGTGTCCCCATGCCGATGGGGACAAGGGCCTCTTCAGCAACAATGACCCGGTAGTTGTGGGGGTCTGCGAGCAAGGGGGCTTACTTGCATCGGGTACCCCTTTAATTAAGGGGGCACCCAGATGCCGCCCCCCCTTGTGAATGAGTATAGGGTACTTGTAACCCTAACCATTCACTAAAGGGTTAAATAAAATAGTTATTAACAAGTCCAGACTTTTGATAAAATCCTTTAATTGAAAAAAAAACAAAGAGCCAATTTTTAACTATTCCTTTAAAGGAGAACTATGGGGTAAGGGCTTTTGGGGACGCCACAGCTGAAGCGGATCCCGACAATTATGTCTGGATCCGCCCAGCTGCGTGAGTGACATCTGGCTCTGCCTATATAGAGGCAGAGCCAGCTGTCCCCGCCCCCTCCCCGTCCGTTCCGCCAGTCAGCGCTGGAGGATCGGAGCGGGGAGGGGGGAATCCAATCCCTCCCCTGTCACGGCAGAGAGTCGTGACAGGATTGAGAAGTGAGCAAACGCCGGTATGTGTTCGCTCACTTCCCGATCTACTGAGCCGACCTGTGAAAGTCTCATTGTCACAGCTCGGCTAGAACTATGTGGATGAGTGAAAAGCACTGACCTCATAATTCTCCTTTAATGAAAAAAAAAAGGGGGGCTCCATCGATGTAATCCAGCGTCAATCACGATGCACGACTCCCGCTGAAATAAAAAAAGTCCCACCGCAGGACGACCGCCCAAACCCCACGAAAACTTGCCGCAAAATGACATTCAGCCCGAAAGTAAACAGATGGGCGGAGCGAGTCCAGACATCACGGCTCGCTCCGCCTATTTGACATTCTCAGCTGTCAAATGCTACATAGCATTCGGGAACTCTGGGGTCAGGGTTGTGGGGAAGAGGCCCTTGTCTCCATCCGCATGGGGACACCCTCCCAATACCGAGGGCACGTGGCCTGGTAAGGCGCAGGGAGGGGAGGGCGCTCATTCGCCTCCCCCCCCTTTCCTGCCCTGCCGGATCAGTGCTCTGATCTGAACCTCACGCTTTTTTTTCTCCTCTGCTGCAGACAAAAATTTCACTTCTAATGTCACTTTGCTGCAATGAAATTTCGTCCGCAAACGAAATTACGTCCAGACTACCGCTAACGAATTTCAGAATCGGAAATTCGGATTAGGTTGCATTCGTTTTTCTGAATTCGGATACATCCAAATGTCCGAATTTCCAAAATTTCGTCCAAATTTCCATTCGAAACGAATCGCACATGTCTAGTGTTTATTTTAGGGCTGAAAACAGGCGTGGGTAGTTTTGAGGGTACGGCTGACATAGAGCTTTGGCAGGTGATGGTGCTGAGAAGCTTTTATTTATGGGGTTGGTGATAAGAGTTAGAGTAAGCTTGGTCGCAGAGGCTTAGCATGTGGGGATTGGGTGGAGGATAAGGATAGAAACTACTCTGGATGGTTTTGTTGGTAAGGGTGGTCACAAAGCCTAGGTAGGAAAGAGTGCTAAAGCCTGGCAACTTAACCAAAAAGCTTTCCAAAGAACTGATTACTCAATAGAATACAGACCTTCCCGCTACATTCCAGTTTACCATAACAAACAACTACACCCAACAGTTATTAGTGTTAGCTGTAGCTTCCCTGGCACTAATAACTACTATGCCATGGGATTGTAAGAAGCTTTTTGCTTGCTCTTTCTCATATTTCCCATTGCAAAGGCCATACCTTATAATCCCATGGCATTATTTTGGCTCCTGCTTTGTTGATGCAACCTATAATGATTTTACTTTCCTTCTGCAGATGTCTCTTCAAATATTTTTTCAGTGGCATTCTAAGCAAAAGTTGTCTGCTTAGCTACCCCCCGGAGCACCCTGATGCTACATCTGACCAACTTTCTCAATTCAGAAATCAAAGAAAAATACAGCAAGTTCAGTTGCCTTGATTTATTATGCGTTCATTCCACCTTCTCTATTCAGATATATAACTTTTCTCCAATACATTTTTTAAACTGTATGGATACCCAAAACTTATTTTCAGTTTTGGATAGTGTGGGGAAGGATTAGAACCACTGTAAGGTTTTACTGCTATCCTGGAATCCTTTAAAGGGATTTTCCCTTACTCTGAGTCCAATTCCGGCGCTA